GAATAGGAGAGAGAGAGAGAGAGAGAGAGAGAGGGAGAGCGAGAGAGAGAGAGAGAGAGGAGAGAGAGAGAGAGAGGAGAGAGAGAGAGAGGGATGAGAGAAGAGAGATGAATAGAGAGAAGATAGAAGGAGAGGAGAGAGAGAGAGAGAGAGGGGATGAGAGAGAGGAGAGAGATGAGAGAGAGAGAGAGAGAGAGGAGAGAGAGAGAGAAGCAGAGATGGAGTAGAGAGAGAGCAGAGAGAGGAGAGATGAGAGAGAGAGAGAGAAGAGAGAGCAACGAACGCGTGGGGGGTTTGAGAATAGGGAAGAGAAAATAGATGAGAGGAGAGAGAGGAGAGAGGCGAAGAGAGACAGAGAGAGATAATAGAGAGAGAGAGAGAGAGATGAGAGAGGAGAGAGGAGAGAGAGCAGAGAGAGCGAGAGAGAGAGAGAGAAGAGGAGAGCAGCACCGACGAATCGCGTGCAAGAATAATAGGGGGAGAGAAGAAGAGGACGTCGAGAGGTGGGGAGGTGAGCAGAGTAGCAAAAAATTTTAAAACCAGAAGTACGACGAAAATACCAGTAGCAAGGGTGTCTGGAAGATAATCTTGTTGATGCTTCACAGTTTTGGGCAAGGCGATGTAATCACGAAATAACAGAGACCCCCCAACCCCACTGCTCTATGCCATGATGCCCGAGCGGGTGTGTCCCAACCCGCCACAGTACCACGGGAGTAACGATGATATAAGACAGGCATAAAAGGGCCATACCTAGCAGTGGTGGCTCGCTGTTCGGTGGGAACCACTCAAATAGAAAGGGCAAACGACACTGACGGTATCCTACCTGGTCGCAAACGATAGATCAATAAACACTAATCGATAACCATCAATTAGCTTAATCAATCTGTTGTTTATTAATGATTATGATGTCCTGAGTAAATGGTGTTTTGGTTACACCTGTAACACCGTAGGACGTCCTGCAATGTTCTGCAGGCCGGTTTACGCCAATCAGCTCGTTGAGATTAGCGGCTGTTCTACGTGCTTTAGTAACGAAGCTGGGATCAGTACGAAAACGGTACCCAGAAACGATTCCAGGTACGTCAGTACTTGTGCGCAGGTAATATTAGTGACACTCAAGACGAATCAACTGCATTCGAAATGCGTACGCTGCTTTCTCACGACAATCATCCCACATTCCGTTGAAGGAAGTTCTGTAGGCCATGATCGTTCCCCAGTTGGTAAAGCCAGGCAGCGACGCCAGAATCGCCCGAGATCCGCCACGGGGCCAGCTACATGATCTTCCTTCTGCGCGGATGTGTATCCGATATCGGCGGTAAACGGTGCGGCAACCAGACTACCAATCATAAATGCTTGACGCTGTCAGCGTGCGACATGAATGCGCGGGTCGCAAACTAATCGCACATGCATAGCACATGTGAAGATTAACTGTTAAGCATTATTCCCTCTAAAATCCGCAACTGCACGTGGCGGTAATCCAGCATAGCGGCGGGGCCGGCGTACGCCCCCCCGCTTTGTAGGCCCAGAAAAAAAGCAATAAAACTTAAAACACAAATACTTTGTTTGATAGGCAGTAGGCTAGCTAGTGCGGTCTTCAGGTGTAACGTCAGACTGGAACGCTCTCCTGCTCGGTTTGCTTGCCACATGAGGACTGTCCTTTACGAAATGGTAGGTGGTCAACATCTTCCATCAGAAGTAAGTCCGTCGATGTTGCTATTGGCAAACCCACTGGGGATCGCTTAAGGTCCCGGAACAGTGCGTACAACAGCATCATGACCTGCACATATCAGTCTGGCAATTAGTTATTAGGCTAATTGTCACACTGACTTCTCCTCTGCCCGTAACCAATCGGATATATCACAATATCAAATGTGTTTCTTTTTTAGTGGCTTTAATACATGTTAAAGGAACTGTATCATATGTTTAAATCTTGTGTTTGCAATTCTTACCTATGTTAATTATGTATTATTGCTAGTAACCTAACCTCAGGTGTGTGGGCTTACCTCGTCCTCCACGCTCTCCATGAAAAGTCATGAAAAATGGTGTTTTAAATCCTTAAATTGTAATATCTAGTGTCATCCAGACATCAGAATAGTGGCCCACAGATATGCCGTACTCAGATTGCAAAGAAAAATGGCCTTAAATATTTCAAATTTTTTCTGGTGGCGCGGGGGCATGCCCAGGACCCCCCTCTGCGCTGGCGTCCGTAGGCACGTGGGCCTGCCTGCGGCAGCCAAGTACATTTCGCCGGCGCCTGTTCATGCAATTCTGAAACGCCTCACTGCACATGCATGCACCTAAAGTGTCGTGCAATATTATATTAACTCTATTACACTCGAGCTTTAATCAATGAAGCACGTAATTGAAACTCTCTCTCCACACCGCACGCACGCAACAGCAGACACACAACGCACACAGCACACAACACACACACACACAACACTGCAGCCGCCACGCACGCACGCACGCACGCAACGCCGCACGAACGCACGGCACGCGACGCACACACACACATATATATAGTATGATGTAATACTATTATATATTCAGCTTTATAGTTCACCCAACCCACACCGATATTCGGCTTATAGGCCATAAAAAAGCCCTGCGCGGCGCAATATTAATATATCAAACCGTTTACAATAGTGACACTTGCGCGCCCGCGCCTTGTGCATCACATTCATGTGTAAGATGCATTTACAGTATATGCATTGCGGTGTGTACGCGAGTGTGTGTGTGTGCGCGCGCGCAGCGGTGTGAGCGTGTGTGCGCGTTGTGTGTGGTGTGTGTGTGTGTGTGTGGTGTGTGGTGTGTGTGTGTGTGTTTGTGTGGTGTGTGGTGTGTGTGTGTGTGTGCGTGTGCGTTGTGTCATGTGTGTGTGTGTGTGTGTGTGTGCGCGGTGGGTGACGTTGTGTGTTCTGATGGTACGCGTGTGGGGTGTGATGGTGTGGGTGTGCGCGCGTGTGTGCGTTGCTGCGTTGTGTACGTGTATGCGTGTTGTGCTTGCGCTTGTTGTACGTTGTGCGTGTGTGTGGTGTGCTGTGTGTGTGTGTGCGTGTTGTGTATGTATGTGTGTGTGGTGTGGTGGTGTGTGTGTGTGTGTTTGTGTGTTGTGTGTGTGTGTGTGTGTGTTGTGTTGCTGTGTGTGTCCGGTTCCATCTCTCGTGCGGTGGAATGATATACTCTGACTAGCGCCGATGCTTATTTAACAAAATTACGATCGTTGTGGTCCGGTAACGAGCGGAATAAGGTGCTGTGTCATGACGGTAACTTCGCATTCGATACTGTCGTAATCATAAACAAAACCACCTGCGTATAAAATCAACCACACTCGCTGAAAATACGCATTTAGTGGAATGAAGAGTCGACGCTGTAATATACTCGTGGACTTATCAAGTATTATAACATAGTATGAAACTCGTTATGCACTGCGAAAGGCGATTAAGTGAAATTTTTCACTGTAAATCTAACAACCTCTGATCATGTTTGTAGAAGAACGCCTCGCTGAAACTTACTTACCTCGCAGTGTGAGATCGCTGCGTTCTTCCACTGGCTGCCAGCGAACACTGAACTGCGGTGAACGTTTCTCCCGCCTACGATATATGAATCGATGCTGTGCGGTGAGAGTCAAAGACAATCTGTTCCACCGTTACTTGTCTAGTGAACGCTTGCCGTTATTCCTTACCAGCCGTATACGCGTTTCGTCGACGTATGTTTGAGCCGAATGCATGTCGCGCTCTGAACTCTCTTTCTCATGATTTAGCCACCGCTACACGGTTTAGCACCAAGGGGAACTGACGACCGGCTCAGATAAGTTATATGCTTAAGTTTGCATCTTTGTGTACTAAGAGGTCGAATTTTATATACTCGTGAACATATATAAGTGATTACAAATGCGCGACAGCTCGCTGTGATATTATAAGAGATATCTAAACTCTAGAGCCTCTTATCTAGAAATATATCTGGTGGATAGCGATCACATTTTTTTTACGTATAATAGCTGGTTTTCTACAATATTTATCACTAAGTAAAGCTGTCGGTTCTGTTCAGAGAGATTTCAGTTTGCTATAGGTTGGGAAGGATGGTCTCTGAAGCAAAGATGTGGGCAAGGTTAGTCAAGCTATGATGTCTATGTATGTAAAATATTTTATTTTAGTGTGCTGTTATAATTCATATATTATATGAACACATTCATGTTATTACATTATTTTATTGTATAATATATTTGATTTACACTATTTTATTACATATGAGCAGGAGTTAATGAAGACAAGTTTGTCTCTACATTTCTAGTTTTGTTAAATACGCAGCCCATACACACACACGCGCGCACACACGCGCGCACACACACGCGCGCACACACACACGCACACACACACGCTCGTGCACACACACACACACGCACACGCACACGCACACGCACACGCACACGCACACGCACACGCACACGCACACGCACACGCACACGCACACGCACACGCACACGCACACGCACACGCACACACACGAACGAGCACATGCACGAGGGTGCTGATCGAGAGAGATTGAGAAAGGGCACATTAGGATATTAAACCTTGGATGTAAGTCGGCGCATATTTCGCTGAAAGACACGTTGTAGGGGTAGCGTGTAGCCGTAAATTGTTGAATGGACGTATACAACCTCACTTGATAAACTATGTTAGTCTTATACAGTCCGTCGTTGTTTCTGGCGTTATACGTGATTCCCTTCTGGAAATTAACGCTAGTTTGCATGAAAACGCCCGATTCTTCACAAAGTTCTGCATCGTTTTGTAGCGATTACTATAAGGATTCTTAATCATCTTGATTTCGGGAGTTCTCAGTAACTAAACCAACAAACTTTAGTAAAAAATAGAAATATTTACCGATAGCTGAGGAAAGGTCAAAATATTATTCATGAAAGGTTCTCCTTGGAGATGTGCCATGAACATTACCATTAGATTTATCGCTTTTCATTTCTTAAATGATTAATATTCACAGTCAAATTTCAATTTGTGTTCATAGTTCACGCAAATTTATTAAAACAATTTTTACTGGTTTTAATACAATCTTTACAGGTATTTTCATTTGGTAACAACTTTTGCATTGTTCTCCAAATCATCTACACACCAGCAGTGAATAAAAACAAATTGGTTCATATTCACTCCTTCACACAGGTACATTTATCTGTATTTATTAACTGTGTATAAAACTCATGGGGCCTTAAGGATAGACTCAGGGTTATATACAGGTAACTCTGCATGGGCAATACAACATAACGGCTTATCATAGCCAATCAAATCAATCATCCACATTTCACAGAAACAGCAAAGGGTTGGAACCTAAACGTTTAGCAATAGGTTTTTCATAGTATGCACTAGTAAAGGGTCCTTGGATTAAAAAGAAGTTTTATTTCAGGAAATAAGTTGAAAAGATGGACGAAAATCTGTACTGTTGTTATGACAACAATAACGTGAATAAAGAGCCAAACCTTCTCAAATACAATCTTTACAAATAAATCCAGACACCATTTACTCGCAATAAAAAGCAAAAAGCAATTATTTTTACATCATGGTTGTCAGTTCCGAGAAATCAGGGGAATCATCAACAACTGGGCCCAATCCTATGACATGAATACACGAGTGTGCGAATGTCGAAAAATAGGGCCCAATACGTACAACGGAGATATTCACGATATTCTACATTCTACAATGATTGAACGAATGTGTTTAGAATTGGCCAAGGTATGTACAATTACTACTGTTGGTACTCACTCCGACATATCTGTGGTCGATTAACATCAACAAACTTGAAAAAAATTGTGCTGTTATAAATAACAACAAAATAACTGATCTGTTTCAATCTCCCTTTCACCGCCCACTAATTCATGCACGGTGTGATGTCATCATTTCTGTGTATACAAACGCCTGCAGCAACAGCAAGTTGGGGTGGCACGCAGTACATTCTGAGATAGTGAGCACTAATGACGTCACTAGGAGTTGCATACTTAAATGGCGAGCCGAGGATTTCACAGCCAGATAGGCATATGCGGGGATTTTGAACTGTTTGGGAGACCACAGACATAATAATCTACATATACATAGCTGCCCAGAGGCGCCATATATCAAATAAAATGGGTATTGGAATTTTGACCAAATTTCACTTACAACCCAGAGTCCATCCTTGAACCATTAAATTGTATCAATATATATTACAAATCAAAATACAATATTATTAAGAACAAGACAAGAACGTCGCATAGCATACTCGAAACCATGAAAGAAACACGGAGACGGCTATATCTACATTTTACATGCAGCACTTGTGTATTCTCAGTCAGCACTAAACGCATAGTGAGCAACCCCTATTGTATCTTTCCAACGTCCACTAGCACCTCGACAAAACCCGCTTTTTACATCACACTATAGTGACTGATCGCCGGGTTCATTTCATGACAAATGGCCTCAGAATATTAGCAATGAACCATGTGTCTGTGAACTGCAGGTGGTTCCCAGGTGACACCAGAAAATGCAACTTCTTCTGTTTGTCCATCTGTTTGAGTCCAAGCCAATCCTCGGTGTACATGGGTGTCTCTCTCAAGGGTGCGACTCTACGAGCCTGCCCGGGTGTGTAGTAACCGAACCACTGAAGACGTATAAACAATATCTTGGGATAAGATCATCAAATTACATGATAATGTAAGTAATTTTATTCCACAATATATCAATGCATTTAACCTATTAGCAACAGTATCAAAAATTTAAAATAAATGAAAAAAGAATGCAGTTAACAGGAAGAAGAAATTTTGCTGATCTTCCTAACATGGCAAGCTAAACTCTCTTAGGAGAAATACTATTATCAAACAACCTCGTTTAGCAAGTTATTAAGTGCATGCTTGGTAAATATCACTTACTTCTGTTTCCTTTGGATCAACCATTGTGTCATCTCCAAACATAACCATGACAAAATTTTCCAGCTTCATTAAGTTGGCTTTATAGGTCCGATTCTTTACCTGAAATGCAAAAGGACCTTACGCTCATATTCTAATGGTAGCCAAATGCAGATATGAAAATATTACACCCAATTGTTAGTAGTCTTTATATATAAAACTACTCTTTTTATCAGAAAAAAAACACCCATTGCTGCAGTCTGCATTTTTAATTTGCTCTGCATTTAACAGAAATTCTACATTTAAACTTTCATTACAATTCTCAAATTAAACCAATAGCAATACATGCCCATATGATATAGAATATATACAGATAATGACCGTTTTTGTCTTCTGTTTGAGATATCAAGTTATACGATATAATCAGATAATAAAGAAGTATGCCTTATTAAGGAATCAATATATATTATATAATGATTTGATCATACTGTGGTGATGATATATAAGAAAAACAACTCACATTTTCCTGATTGATGTCGGCCAAGAAAATGCTTTTGTTTCGGTACAATTCCTCGTTCAGCGGATCATGCCAATACTGTGCCTGAACAAGACTGTATAAGAAGACAAATGCGTCAGCTAGTTCTTATACACAACAAGCTGCAACATCTCATAATAATACCATGGTTTATAAACATTATCATTTATCATTATGTTTATTAGTACTGGCTTCGACGTGTGTCAAACCATCTAATCAATGCTACACAACTACTTATATAACACAATTCAAAAAGGCTTCAAAAAGCTTAGACTGCATAGTAACGCTTACTACATTACATTAGGATGTAAGTATAGATATATTTTACCAGAGAATGCACTCAATGAATGTGTAGGGTTATCAGATTTCTCAGGCTTACCCTTTTTGAACAAAGCTGAGTCCATGGTAAAGAAATGTTCATTGTCCATAAAATGAGAAAAAAAGAAAACATTATATTTGTGGTGACATATAATTTTCAAAAGACTCAATGTCTGAAACCAACAGTAAAAAGTTCATGTAGAGAGAACTTTATCACAGTAGGGAATTCAAATTTTTCCAATGATAATTGGAGACACACGATAATCAGAAATGGCTATGGCAAAGGTGTTGCTCATTTACTAGGTAATGCAGTTTCCATATGCCAGATATATTTGGATGCCAGGGAGGACTTGCAGTAGGGCTGCTATAAGAGACATGCTATGGACAAATAACCAATCAATGACCTCATAGGTTTATATAGACGATTATTCACAGCCTTTTAGCAGCTAACTTTACACTGATCTGATAGGAGAGTTCATTGATAACAGAACTGATCCGAACAGAACATCAAATAATTATTGACAGACTGAAAGCAAGTTTATTTACTCTCTCTATAATAAAGAGCTTAAACAGCAAAAAGGCTGTTTGTATACGAAATTGTTTTAGCGACTTTAGCTAGATTTAATTATGCACAGATGTACTTACTCAGTATATACACCTAGGTTTAGTAGCTTACGTACTATGTTGCACAAGGTAGAATTGTCACCAGGACATCTTGGGAACCCATAGACACCTGTAACACATGTATACACAAACTGCTGTATGTCAAACACAACGAACATAAATGTTTGTCACTGAACAATTTTATATATTATATTGCAATAAGCAATAGCACAAACATACACTCACACACGCACGTATGCAAGCACGCACGTATGCACACACACGCACATGCACACGCATACACACAATAATAAAATGAACATTAATTCAGATACTGGTTTTGTTTCATAGGTTTTTTTTACCTTGATGTTGTCCGCCAAAGGAGATCAAATTTTTCATTGGTGGGTTTGGACACCGTTGTGCTACTGCTCTTCTAAAATGTTACGACAAGATTATTAATAAAAAAGCAATTGGCAATAACAAGGTGTACATATGTCCAATATAGTTGTCAAGTCTACTGGTTTAGTATACATGTGTACATGTAGCGATTTGTAGTTCTTGTTATACAATATTATATAAAGTTATTAGGGTTTTGGGGGTGATATGGTTTGGGAAGTTGCAATAAACTGCATGGAACGGAAGTCTAAGGATTTCAGCTGATGTCTGATCTCTTTTTGCAAAAGGATATGAAAATAGGGTAAAAAACTCCACAATTACAGAAGAAAAGACCAAGTATACACATACAAGAATTGTCCACCTTGTGAGAATCCCATGGCATGGTAACCTGCCTGCAGTTTGTCGTCCATCGATATCTTCTTGCATGCAAGTTCAATCTGGAAATCACCATTAAATAACAGCACTGATATAATTACAACAACAATTAACATATAATCTACACATATGTGAAATTTTCCATTTGACCTATCTACCCACCTTGACTGACAGACAGCTCTAGTCAATTTGCATTGTGATAGGGGCATTTAAATGAAAGTGTCAATGACACTGTAGCTCACCACAAAAAAGGACACAAATAAGTGAGTGAGAAGAAGTCAGTTTTAATTGAGCAACCATCGACGTACATTATAGAAATGAAGAGTATATATGGGAGAACTCCCATTATATACTCTTGATAATTATGTGTAATTTTTTATGTGAAAATAAATGTTTGAGAAGTGAAAGTCTGAGATGTGGGCGGGTGATGGCGTTACACCTAAATGATCGCCATTTAACGTTTTTATAATATTCAGATTTAGTCACTGCCTAAAAGCGGAGCTCCCGATGTGTAACGTGTATAGGATTGAGAGGATACGCTTATTCCACGTAGCTGCTATATACCACGTGACAATGGTGTTTCCCTGACCATAACACAACTTTTGTCAAAGGTTAATTGGTTGCATGGAAGTGTTTACTTCGTATGAGTTTTTCTAGGCGGTAGCACACGGTTGCCATCTGTATATCGCAATAATAATTTATAAACCAAAATGAATCACAATTTGTGATGGTAGATGGCGCTATACCCGCTTTGATGTTTCTTAGCGATGGCGTTCGAAATAAATAGGTTATGCTGCGTTCCGACATGTTTTGTAAAACTTTACTCTAATATAGAGGTTTTAACGGCAGGGTGGAGAGGAAATACCAATTTTGCATTAAAGATATTGTCAATGAAATTTTGTAAAACGAACCAGACGAGTGTGACACCACAGACTGTTGTGTCTATATAATATGCTATATAATTGCCAAAACCTACCTAATTTGCATTTTTTTTTTAATATCAAAACCCCTAGCCCTTATTCATCCACATACCAAAAATGAGCAAAATCCGTTGAACCTGAACTGACAAATGGCAATTCCCATTTTTGCCAAAAAATTGCCGTGGCTCGAAAGTACGTCGACTGGCGTGCTCCAAAATAGGACGTTCAATATGGGAGCATAGCAGTAACAACTATACCCAATTTCAAACATGTGGGTCAAATGGTTCCTGAGTTATCGTTGACCGTAGCCAAATGTTGACGGACGGACGGACGGACGTACGACGGACGACGACCCATGGCAATAGCTCATCTTGACGATGTCAAGGTGAGCTAAAAACACTCCATGACACTGTAGGTTGCATGCTTAAAAATACCTATAAACTGGTTTAGCTTAGTCTGGCCAACCTAGCAAGGTGTGCATAAGACATACTACATAAATACAGAGTACATCGTTATAAAAGAAATAATTACATGTATAAGTACAATTTTAGTCAGTTTAAGCACGGGAGTGGCGAAGGACACTTAAGTCATCTAGTCTGCCACCCCTGATTGGTGGCATATGGTAATCTCCACTCACATGGACAGGTTAATTAACAAGTGAACACAGCTAGCATTCACCTGCTAATATCTTAACTTGGCTGCATCTCACCTGGTCATTTGTGTTCTTGAAGAAACCATTTTCCATATCCTCAACAATTCCATTCCCAATTTCTAATGAGTGAACATAGACCCCGGGAACATTTTTTTCAATAATCGACTTGATAGCTCCCATGCTAAGTGGGTTGCAACAGCTGTCACCTGCAAATTAAACGCAAAGAGGAAATATATCAAACTTCTAATGTAGCAATTGCTAAATGGTCTAGCTGTGTTACAAAAGCTAGGGTTACAAAAATTGCTAATACAATAGAAATTTTTTAACCCTGCATGATCTCAAACATTATCTATGACACTATATGCACGACATTTCTCAATGTGTAGCACACACACTGTGTAGTACTCAGTGTGGCTGAGAGGATCTATGTCCCCCAGGGTACTGCCGGAACGTACCCTGGGTACGGTCTATGGGGCGCCAAGTGTCGCATGACTGATTTCGTTACGAAATCATTGATTTCGTAACGAAATCAAGTCTACAAAGTGATTTCGTTACGAAATCAAGTCTACAAAGTGATTTCGTTACGAAATCAAGTCTACAAAGTAATTTCGTTACGAAATCAACTACTACAATCG